CCATAGTTACTCTTGAACTTGAATAGGAAGTCATATACTGGCAATTTACTGTGGCCTTGAAATTGACCCTTGACCTACCTTACGAAGAACTTAAATTTGATTGTACCCTATATTTTTTTTGCAATAGTTTTAAAATTCTTGTTGATTGCATTTTTACAGCTTGTCAAGCACAAAACTGGTGGCTGTGTCCCTTATTTTGTGTATGTGGGGGTCTATACGAATGCGCTTGCTCCAGCTGGTGGTACAATATTTGGAGGCGGTATCGCCTCTCTGATCCTCTAGTTACTTTATTTACTTTAACTATAATTTTGTACATTGTTGTATAAGTGTAGACTAGTGGCTCAGGCCCTGTTCACAGCAACTTCTATAAAAACCATTCTTAGTAACAATCCCAGGAAGTAGACACTTGAAGCCCCCCCCCCCTTCTTCTCCTGCCTGCAATAGAAATAAACATCCTTTATAGTCCTCAGGGGAGGTACTCACACCCAATACTGGACTGGACTGGACCCCATTGGGGGTAGGGGGGTAGGAGCGGATACAACATATTTTGTGATCACTATTTTTTATTGGTAAGATGATGTAGATGTTTGCTTTGAAAAATGTGAAAGGTTAAATCATGATATGAGTTGTCAAGTAGCTGTGAGAGGTATTATGGTGCCTGGATGATAATTTGTATTGTAAAGCAATCTTACACACATCTAAATGAGGATTTACGTAATGGAAAAAAAAATTAAAGACATCTGTGCACACTGTCATTTATTTACTAGTACTGTGGCTGAAAAAGAGATGTCATTGTATTATGTCATGCAAGGGTTTGAACTGTAAATTGTGAAAAACTGGATGGTTTCTGCAACATGGTTTTTCACCTGTTAGGCGTGGCACGAAGAGTCAAATTTCCATACATCATGAGATAAAATTTTTTGTTTCTTTAAAAATGTTCTACTTTTTCACCAGTGTTGGGTGGATTTGGAAGTGATTGAGTTATAATTGAAAGATATTGGCTGCCACAAAATTGCTGCTTCTTGATAGAAGATTTGACACAGTGAGACAGTTGTTATAACAAAAGAAAAAAATTAAGAAGATGGACAAAAGAAAGCTGGAAAATGAGTGGCATCATTGACCCAGTGCTGATACTATTAGATGTCATTATATTTACTCAGTGTATTTATCACAAGGTATCTTTCAATTACATTTACAGGCTCTATCTTCTCTGTAAATGTATCCTTACTCACTAAATATAGTGTAATTGAGATTCTATGAAACTCTCTGTAATTACTTGATCATGTCAGTGACACAGGAGGATAGACTTAATAGGGGCAAGAGATCAGTAAAAGAAAATAAACAACTCTGCTTGCTTTCAGGATGGGTATCATTTTGAACAATAAATAATCAAAAGTTGACAGTGAAAGAAAAAGAAAATGGTTCAAACATGTTTATCTTAGATGATAAATGTCATGAAGGTTACAGTAAGTGAAATATTGTTAAGTGCCTTCCCTAAATCACAGTGGTGGCATCATCTGAGAGAGGAGAGGAGAAATGTGTTCATTGCAGTAGAGCAGCCATTGCTGAGTGGTCGATGTCTCAAATGGTGCAGTTGAGATGGTATTATTCACTTGCATGCGGATTCCAATTTTTCGTCAATAAAAATTTGGTTTGAATCTCCTTACGCAATTCAGACCAGTGCTTTCATCTGTAGTTTTCAGTTTGATGTGGACAGAATTCAGAATAAACCATATCTTTTCAGAAACACAGGATGACCAATTTGCTGTTAATCAACAGAAAAAAAAATTGTTTTAAAAAAAAATCATTATACTTTCTCTTACACAATGATTGACGACAGCAGTTGTTTTATTGTTACAACTTGTCTTACTGGTGCTAAAAATAACTGCATACTTCTATAACAAATTGCAGTTAAGCTTTTGAACAGAAGAGGTCTTTGTGAAAGCTTTGTTTCTATGCCTGTTTTATCACAGCTGAGCTTCATTTATTTTTTTACCAGCTAAATATGGTTGTATCATTTCATCCTCCATTAAATATTGTGCTGCAGCTGTTTAATAAGGATGGGGAGGGGGTTCTCAAACTGTGAGCTTAAAAAGAATTTCATTCATTGAGCTGTAACTGTAAGGCTAAAATGATTATTTTAAGTTGTACTGGTTTTTCTGCCAAAAACCAAGTTGTTTAACATTAAGGCCTCAAAATGTGCAATTACTAGTACCAAGTCACTGGAAGAGGCCATTAATTGGCTTGATGGAGTTGGTCTTGCATTGCAATGACACTTCAGGTGATTTTGTCTTATGTGTCCTAAATTGCTATTTCCCTGGCTTATTAGATAGCGTAGTATATATCTATAGCATAGCTAAATATTGGTGATATTTAGATAGATGCATTAGTGATGCCTTTTGTTCTATACTTCAAAAACCAGTTAGGAGGGACCTGGCACAATTTTGGAGGGGAAAAAAAGAGACACGGAGAAAAAATCTTCTTAGCACCAGTGGACCATGTTAAATGTGATGAGCTGCTTTCTCCCCCTGCTGTTTTATTAATATACATGAAGTGTGTTGTGGACAATGTGTGTGATTGTCAAGCCATATCAATGTTAAATTGTTCAGAAGTTGTCTCAGTACAGGGCACCTGCTGTTGCTGGACTGAAATGACTGCCAAAGATAAATACAACCTGGGCTCCCCTTTTCTTTATGATTCTTATTTGCATCAGCTACAGAATTTTTTTACAGAATATAGTTGATGGAGGATATTTTGTTCTGTTTTATGAATACTTTGGATTCACTTCCTACCATTGTGTTAATGAGCATGGATAATAATCCATTGTATCAATTACTCAGTGATTGTTATATTAATTTGAAACATTTTTACATGGAATTTTAATTGCATAATCTCATATCCAGATAATTACTTGATTCATGATAAGTTATGAGCCATTATCATCATTAATCATAAAAAATGAAAGGAAATGATAAATATAGTAGGATGTTCATGGAAATGTTAACTCATTTGACATTTGGTACGTTATATGAAAAAAAAAAAACTTTTTTCCACCCCATCTATTCATGAGCGCTCCAGGCAGCTGCATGATCCATCTTAAGCTTGATTTCTCTGTTGAAGGTCATTACGCACCGATTAACTTAATAGCGTCCTTGGCACCTCTGACCACACTAATGACCATTTGACCACAGGCTATGATGTGGTTGTTTAATGGACATAAAATGACCAACTGGTGATCATTGGCAGAGAGATGGAATGAAAATGTAGTCAACTATGATGTAATACAAGGCAGTTGGTTTTTTATGAGCCTGTTTGACCAGCTGCTGAGGGAGCTGCCAGAGGCCCTTGTGGAAGTTATGTCACAGGGTCAGGGCCTTCAGGATGTTGATGGACTCCACAGGGGGATTACAGATTTTTTCGTTCTTTTTTTTTTCTTTTTGGCATCGTTGATGTTTCAAGGCCATGCTGTGTGTTTGATGTCAGTCACCATGTCTGCTGGTGATGGAGTCTCTAACACCCCATTTCCATAGATTAGATCGACCTACTTTAGATCGACCTAACTCCCTGGGGGTTCACGCTAAATAGCTGTCAGCCGGGCGGACACGAAAGTTAATTACCCTCTTACAGCTTGTAGTAGGCGGGACGGACATTTAAGTCGGATTATCTGAAAGTAATCCAGTGAGACTCCCCGCGTGGATAGATCGATCTAAAATCTATGGGAATAGAGCCTTAGGCTCCATTCGGAATGGATGATCTGAGTACTTACTGATCTGCTGACTAAATATGGCTGAACACACTTCAAAAGCATTGCTGCTAATCCCTGACTCCACACATATATTTAAACAGATTAAATCTCTGCTCTGAGCTTTAATTGCTAGGCCCCTGCAATGACGTCGCTTTTGAACTATGGTCGGCCATATTTATTCGACGGATCAGTAAGTACTCAGATCATTCATTCTGAATGGGGCCTTAAATGCTGTTCACAACCATTTTGATCTGTGGACTAACTGACCTGTAGCCCAAATATGGTTGATTTACTTGAAAGCTTGTCCTGTAATCCCTGGGGCAAACCGATTGTGGATTACATGGAAAGCTTTCAAGGGGCAGCCATATTTGATCTGCGGATAAGTTAGCATACCAATTTGGTTGTGAACAAAGCCTTAAAATCAAATCACTTGTCAAATCCTAAATGGTTTGTGTCATTGCTCTTGGTTTCTTGGAAAAAATTAGCAGGTCTTAGAAGGATTAGAAATATTGCGAAAGAGAAAGAAACAATAAAAGTCTTAGCTCCTGCCATCTTTGTCAACTCCTTGCATAGATGCCTTGATGTTATTGCAATAGAAATAGATTTAAATATATATGCTAAGTCATATTTTATTAATCTATTCAGATGAAATACTGACAAACGTAGTCTGCCTGATGCTCCGTTGCTGTTGTCACCATATTGACAATGCATTTCCACAGTTCTGTGAAATCAAAATGTGTGAATACAGTATCTAAATTTTTAGCATGTTTTAGTGTTGTGTGTGAGATATGCTTTGTAATAAATAACTGAAATCTGCTCGTTTTACACTCCTGGAGTCCCTATTACATAATTAGCTCCGTTTCCAGGAAATAATTTATCCAGGCACTTTAGGCCCACATAACAGTTGCAGTGCTAGAGCCCAGATATCAATAAAAAGGCAGTAATTGTCATAGCAGTTCTAGAATGATGACAACAGAGAAGTTAATTTGCCTTATTTTGTATGTGCAAGCTTTTTATGTGTATTAATTTGCAGTGAAAGCCAAGCAGTTGCCAAAGACCTTTTAGAAATAGAATTGCAGCACTGAAACTCATTGGCGTAATGATAGAAAATTTTAGAACATCATTTAATCCAGTTAATTTCATAATAGTAGTTTTTACACAAATAAAATTCACAGAATTCGCACATGCTTTTCTTTTTCCTTTGTCATAGTTTGGAAGTCTTACAGTTTGAAGTGTCACATATGAAATATTTCAGCCTCAGCCATCACCCTTTAGCCACAGCCTGACACCTGAACAGGTGCTTACGGAGCCCAGTTGTGGCACTTACGGAGCTCATTTGTGGTGCACCCCAGAAGTCTGCTGCTGACTAAAACCACTGTGGATAAGTTGTATTTTAAGCAGAGGTTAACAGCTCGGCTGAAATTGGGTACTTGTTAATGTTGAAACAAGTGTTTTATAGCTGCGGGATATTAAATGGAAGCTGAAGAAAGTGTTATGTCAATATGGCGAATGGTTTAGATTGCTACACAGATGTTTGGGGCGAATGTCCTGAACTGGCTCCCTTCTTGCCTACTCGTGCTTGAATTTTTATGGTTGTTTTAGAGGAGCAGAAATATTGTTGTTCCCTGGCAGTGAGATGAGATTGACTGAAATGGCAGAACTCTTACAAGCTTTAATTTGAATCGGTGAAGAACTGCAAGTCACAACCTGCGATATCATACAACATGCACATTTTTTATTAAAATGTCAAAGTTGAGCCACTGTGCCTTCTTGAATTCTTGTCTCAGTTTTATCTTTATATTCATCAGCTAAATTGAATGGGAAGGTATAATGACATATATGCAGGCTGGAAAATAAGAGCTAGAAAAAATGTTGAAAGATGTACACACTCTCTCTCTCTCTCTCACACACACACAGACGCACACACACACACACACACACACACACACACACACACACACATCACTGTGCAACCATGTAATAAAACTTGCCAGATGTCGCATCACTCATTGCTTGGTACAACAGGACCATTAGCATTTTAAACTGGTACCCTAGATGTATTTTATTGAGTGCACATACACTGAACATGTACATCCATTAATTCAATGCCCCTGAATGTATAAATTATCACTGAAGTACTTAAAAGGCAGCCAGGCACGGTTAGTTGTATACAGTATGGTGTAGAAGTGGCCTGGCCTGACATAACCTCGGTCTGACCCATGGCTGGCAGTGCTGGCGATTCCTATTAGATAATGTGGTGTTAAGGACCGGATATACAGTAGCTATAGAGACCATTGAGTGGAGAGAAGGTAGTGGATGGGTCAGAGACGTCCACGCACTCTGAGGAACTATGGTGGACCTGCTGCTGTCGCAGACATTGTGCACTATGGAAGAACATAATTTAAATGTTACTAGGGGAAGTGGCAGGGGTGAGTTTTTAGGCTAGGTATATTATTTTTTTATGATTATCTTTTTTTTTTTTTTTTTTCATGTGTGTTCTTCAGAATGAGTTTATTTATTTAAGTTCTGTTTGGTGGTAAAGCAGTCATTTCAGGGGAAAAACTTTGTGGTTGGTTTTTACATGATTTGCCAACAAAACTAAAGGTAAAGGTTTTGATATGTCAAAAAGAGATTTTTCAGTTATTATTTTGGCTGATTTTGGTCTTGCCACAGATAATGCATCTCTTTAAATGCAGTTAATTAAGTGACATTGCAGTGTCTTAGTGTATTGTTATCCACATGATTAATTCACTGATTTTTTTTTCCATATCGTCTTTTTTCTTTCATTGATTACACTGCATCATATATGTACAGTGTAGCTGAAGGTGATACCTTTGTGCCAGCCAGATTATGTGCTCCTCTTCTCCAAGAATGTTTCTTGTGGCTATATCATTGCACAGTAGCTTGTAATCGGTAGCACGCAGAGTCATGCACCGCCTCCAATACATGTGCTGCCTGGCTTCTGCCACACAGAGATTAATGTTATGTTCATACCAGGTCTAACTTGGACCAGATACAGTGTGCTGCCTGGCTTCTGCTGCATACTGATTAATGTTATGTTCACACCAGTTCTAACTTGGACCAGGTACATGTGCTGCCAGGCTCCTGCTGTATAGAGATTAATGTCACGGTCACACATAGTTTAACTTAAACCAGATACTGGATCCTGAGTGCATTTCTTACCACATTATTCTATTACTAGTACAATTATTACATGATTTTGATCCAGAATTATTACATGATTGTGATCCAGATCCTTAAGCCTGATGTGATATTATATAGTTTCATTGTTTTGGTGCTAGTTAGTCAGAGTGTGAATTACCGAGTCATGGACCTGCAGTCATAATTAACTACTCAGCTAATCTGTGCTATGTCTGCTGTTATTTGACAGAAGACGGGTTTCTCCTCCTTACAGTGCCTCATCTTGCCTCTGGTCTCCTAGTAACAGAAGGTGTCGTCACTAGTCTTCGTTTCATTTCCATTTCATTTCTTTACATTGCAACCAGAGTGTTTTATGGACCATGAATATTGTGGCGGAATAGCTGAAGGTATGTTACTAGTGGGATTCAAAGTAGAGACAGTCTCTGCAGTCTTTAGATGGTTGAAGAGCAAGATATTTTTGCTGCAAAAAATGGGGATAATTAGTGTGTAGGTTTTTTATTATGGAAAGAAAGCAGTTATGTTTAGTTAAGGTTATTTTAAGACACATGTAGATCAGCTGTTTGAATTCCTTTGGTTAACATTTTGANTAAATCTCTGCTCTGAGCTTTAATTGCTAGGCCCCTGCAGTGACGTCGCTTTTAAACTATGGTCGGCCATATTTAGTCAACGGATCAGTAAGTACTCAGATCATTCATTCTGAATGGGGCCTTAAATGCTGTTCACAACCAGTTTGATCTGTGGACTAACTGACCTGTAGCCCAAATATGGTTGATTTACTTGAAAGCTTGTCCTGTAATCCCTGGGACAAACCCATCGTGGATTACGTGGAAAGCTTTCAAGGGGCGGCCATATTTGATCTGCGGATAAGTTAGCAGACCAATTTGGCTGTGAACAAAGCCTAAAAAGCAAATCACTTGTCAAATCCTAAATGGTATGTGTTATTGCTCTTGGTTTCTTGGAAAAAATTAGCAGGTCTTAGAAGGATTAGAAATATTGCCAAAGAGAAAGAAACAATAAAAGTCTTAGCTCCTGCCATCTTTGTCAACTCCTTGCATAGATGCCTTGATGTTATTGCAATAGAAATAGATTTAAATATATATGCTAAGTCATATTTTATTAATCTATTTAGATGAAATACTGACAAACGTAGTCTGCCTGATGCTCCGTTGCTGTTGTCACCATATTGACAATGCATTTCCACAGTTCTGTGATATCAAAATGTGTGAATACAGAATCTAAATTTTTAGCATGTTTTAGTGTTGTGTGTGAGATATGCTTTGTAATAAATAACTGAAATCTGCTCGTTTTTCACTCCTGGAGTCCCTATTACATAATTAGCTCCGTTTCCAGGAAATAATTTATCCAGGCACTTTAGGCCCACATAACAGTTGCAGTGCTAGAGCCCAGATATCAATAAAAAGGCAGTAATTGTCATAGCAGTTCTAGAATGATGACAACAGAGAAGTTAATTTGCCTTATTTTGTATGTGCAAGCTTTTTATGTGTATTAATTTGCAGTGAAAGCCAAGCAGTTGCCAAAGACCTTTTAGAAATAGAATTGCAGCACTGAAACTCATTGGCGTAATGATAGAAAATTTTAGAACGTTATTTAATCCAGTTAATTTCTTTTTCTCGGCCCTGTCATAGTTTGGAAGTCTTTCAGTTTGAAGTGTAACATATGAAATATTTCAGCCTCAGCCATCACCCTCTAGCCACAGCCTGACACCTGAGCTGAACAGGTGCTTACGGAGCCCAGTTGTGGCACTTACGGAGCTCATTTGTGGTGCACCCCAGAAGTCTGCTGCTGACTAAAACCACTGTGGATAAGTTGTATTTTAAGCAGAAGCTCGGCTGAAATTGGGTACTTGTTAATGTTGAAACAAGTGTTTTATAGCTGCGGGATATTAAATGGAAGCTGAAGAAAGTGTTATGTCAATATGGCGAATGGTTTAGATTGCTACACAGATGTTTGGGGCGAATGTCCTGAACTGGCTCCCTTCTTGCCTACTCGTGCTTGAATTTTTATGGTTGTTTTAGAGGAGCAGAAATATTGTTGTTCCCTGGCAGTGAGGATGAGATTGACTGAAATGGCAGAACTCTTACAAGCTTTAATTTGAATCGGTGAAGAACTGCAAGTCACAACCTGCGATATCATACAACATGCACATTTTTTATTAAAATGTCAAAGTTGAGCCACTGTGCCTTCTTGAATTCTTGTCTCAGTTTAATCTTTATATTTATCAGCTAAATTGAATGGGAAGGTATAATGACATATATGCAGGCTGGAAAATAAGAGCTAGAAAAAATGTTGAAAGATGTACACACTCTCTCTCTCTCTCACACACACACAAACACACACACACACACACACACACACACACACACACAGAGACACACGCACACACACATTACTGTGCAACCATGTAATAAAACTTGCCAGATGTCGCATCACTCATTGCTTGGTACAACAGGACCATTAGCAGCATTTTAAACTGGTACCCTAGATGTATTTTATTGAGTGCACATACACTGAACATGTACATCCATTAATTCAATGCCCCTGAATGTATAAATTATCACTGAAGTACTTAAAAGGCAGCCAGGCACGGTTAGTTGTATACAGTATGGTGTAGAAGTGGCCTGGCCTGACATAACCTCGGCCTGACCCATGGCTGGCAGTGCTGGCGATTCCTATTAGATAATGTGGTGTTAAGGACCGGATATACAGTAGCTATAGAGACCATTGAGTGGAGAGAAGGTAGTGGATGGGTCAGAGACGTCCACGCACTCTGAGGAACTATGGTGGACCTGCTACTGTCGCAGACATTGTGCACTATGGAAGAACATAATTTAAATGTTACTAGGGGAAGTGGCAGGGGTGAGTTTTTAGGCTAGGTATATTATTTTTTTATGATTATCTTTTTTTTTTTTTTTTTTTCATGTGTGTTCTTCAAAATGAGTTTATTTATTTAAGTTCTGTTTGGTGGTAAAGCAGCCATTTCAGGGGAAAAACTTTGCGGTTGGTTTTACATGATTTGCCAACAAAACTGAAGGTAAAGGTTTTGATATGTCAAAAAGAGATTTTTCAGTTATTATTTTGGCTGATTTTGGTCTTGCCACAGATAATGCATCTCTTTAAATGCAGTTAATTAAGTGACATTGCAGTGTCTTAGTGTATTGTTATCCACATGAACAATTCACTGATTTTTTTTTTTCATATCGTCTTTTTTCTTTCATTGATTACACTGCATCATATATGTACAGTGTAGCTGAAGGTGATACCTTTGTGCCAGCCAGATTATGTGCTCCTCTTCTCCAAGAATGTTTCTTGTGGCTATATCATTGCACAGTAGCTTGTAATCGGTAGCACACAGAGTCATGCACCACCTCCAATACATGTGCTGCCTGGCTTCTGCCCCACAGAGATTAATGTTATGTTCATACCAGGTCTAACTTGGACCAGATACAGTGTGCTGCCTGACTTCTGCTGCATACTGATTAATGTTATGTTCACACCAGGTCTAACTTGGACCAGATACATGTGCTGCCTGGCTCCTGTTGCATAGAGATATGTGTCAAGTTCACACCAGTTCTAACTTGGACCAGATACATGGGTTGCCTGGCTCCTGTTGCATAGAGATTAATGTTTATCTTCACACGTGGTCTAACTTAAACCAGATACTGGATTTGAGTCCATTTCTACTGCATTCTACTATGTTATTACATGGTTTTGATCCAGATCCTTAAGCCTGATGTGATATTATATAGTTTCATTGTTTTGGTGCTAGTTAGTCAGAGTGTGAATTACCGAGTCATGGACCTGCAGTCATAATTAAAGGGATAATAACTCTTTGTTTCAGCCAAAAAATGATTTTCCTGGAGTAAACAACAATTTTCCCATACTTACCAATGGTTAATGAATCCATTTTTACATTCAAAGTTAGTCCCTGGTTTTTTTCTAAAAAGTTTGGTTTTTTGTTAAAATCTCTTAAGAGATTTTAACAGAGTATAGCTATCAGAGGAGGTCACGTGGTCTAAAGACAAGCTCAGATATCAGAAAAAAATAGCTATAATTGCTGTTTTTATGGTAAAACAGAATATATTATATTTCTATGAGTTATTCACTATGTTTTTAATGGGAAATATAGATCTCATACGAAGAGTTATTATCCCTTTAACTACTCAGCTAATCTGTGCTATGTCTGCTGTTATTTGACAGAAGACAGGTTTCTCCTCCTCACAGTGCCTCATCTTGCCTCTGGTCTCCTAGTAACAGAAGGTGTCGTCACTAGTCTTCGTTTCATTTCCATTTTATTTCTTTACATTGCAACCAGAGTGTTTTATGGACCATGAATATTGTGGCGGAATAGCTGAAGGTATGTTACTAGTGGGATTCAAAGTAGAGACGGTCTCTGCAGTCTTTAGATGGTTGAAGAGCAAGTAAGATATTTTTGCTGCAAAAAATGGGGATAATTAGTGTGTAGGTTTTTTATTATGGAAAGAAAGCAGTTATGTTTAGTTAAGGTTATTTTATGACACATGTAGAGCAGCTGTTTTAATTCCTTTGGTTAACATTTTAAAAATTTTAACTTTGCAAGAATGTGAGCTCACACACATGCACGCACATATACACACAAAATATACTCACTTTTAGGCTTCGTTCACATGAAAAATCTATTTTCTATTCGCGGTATCTTGTGATCACGGTCTGTGCACTGAATACCCCGCGGCATAATTACTGGCAGCGCGAGCCAGTTACTTCAAAAGCTGTAATTAATTCTTGGCTGCGCTCAGAGTGATCACAAGATACCGCAAATAGAAAATAGATTTTTAGAAAATAGATTTTTCATGTGAACGGAGTCTTAATCTTGTGCTTTTGATGATAACTTAAACATGACCCTCACCATTTGATGTAGAAGAGAAGTTTCAATGAAATAATGTTCCATCAATTTTGAAAATGGTTTCCTGGAAATGAAGGCCATTAAATTGCAATTTGTGGCTTTGACGATTACTAATGGGCCCTCTGCTAGTCTTGATGCTGGCATGGTTTCAATCATGCACTGATCTTAGCCAGATCATTTCCTCAGATTAATCGACCTTGTGATTGTGAATGTTGGTGTCATGATCAAGCAATAGCAATGCTGAGATCCAGTCCCCAGTTTTTTTTTTATCAGAGACCAGATTATGAAATTGCATTTCTGGGATTTCTATCACTTATGTGCAAATCTTATGATTACTTGTAATCAAAACATTTCATAAAGTACTTGAAGGTTAGAAGAAATTTTAAAAAAAATTTGTGTCTGATTTTCATATTTCATGAGAAAAAATATTGAAAATAGATGTGCATTTTGGAAGTTAACTGATTAAAAATCCTATATTTACATATTTCAGTTTTCTTCAAATATTTCTAGTCTTTTCATTTCAAGGGTTATCTATTCATGAACAGTACACTACTCAAATGGGAATAATAAGTTATTATCTGAGTCATCTCCTTTAGGAATTTTTCAAAAATAAAAACTTAAAAATCAAGGGTAGCTATTTCAGTGTAAAATGCCTAATTTCTCTCTTGGGGTGATCCTCTTTTCTTCTCTGGAAAGAAGCACTTGTCTAGTTGTCAGAAATAGATTTAGGCTTGATGAGTGATAATAAACAGTTGGTTTTCCAAGAAGATTATGTAAGAAAGATTCCTAGAAAAATGCCATGGATTTTGCACTAAAATAGCCAGGGATGCGTCATACGCTGCGCATCACATAACATGTCCAAGATAATGGAAAGAGTGTTCTTTTTTTTCTGACAGTTTAAATTACAATAGTTATATGAAAACAGCAACTCTGTGCTCTTTATTGTACTTAAGTATAACATGGTGTAATATTCATACAGGCACCTGGGAGAGAGAGAAAGAGGACACTGGTATTCAGGAGTTGTGGTGCTGTCATTTGACTGCAGGCTGCTGCCATTGAGCTGCTGTTGAAGTAATATGATCATGCCACTAGCACAGTGCAAACTGCTTGGTCCTAATTCTAAAACATAAGTTCTGAGGTATTCCCATAATTAAACTGGAGCTTAGTTAATAAGTTAACACTGAACGCTGATTTTTTTCTACAAATGAACCTTAAAATAAAAACCATCCCCTCAGATGGAACTATGATGGATTTTTTTTTAAAGTGGAGCTCTGTTTGGCATGTCTTGAAGTGCCCCCTTGTGGCAAGTGGCAGTTTAAATTTTAAAGTAAATTGACTTAGTGTTGCAGACAGTCACTTGTTCCAGTAGAGTCTGTAGACCAGGGCCTGGGGCTGATCTGAGGTTGTGTAAGGCTTAGGTACTGGTATTTCTCTGGCACTGGAAGAGAGTTGAATTTCCTTGCAAGTTTAGTCACGTACCAACAGGTAAGATGTGTAGACTACTCTTTCTCTGAGCCTCTCCATAATAGCGAGATGTGCAGTTATAATCATACCACATGGGCTGTTACCATGCATACCTGTTATGTTGAAATACTGATGAAGGAAGAAATGACATATTTTAAGGTTGTGAGTTCTCGATGCAGTTTAATGATGGGTTACAAAATAGTTGAAATCATCAAGTTAAATGGTGGAAAATCTCGGGGGGGGGGGGGGTCATTTTCTGATAAAGTGGACCTTTGAAACCTTTGTGTACCTTGATCAATATTTACTAATACTGGACCTTTTTTCTGGTGGTTCATTTGTACCCCTACCCCCTCAAAGAAATTAATTTAAAAAAAAAAAAAAAACTGGCTGCGGGCCTTGGTATGTGGGTCTGGCCCCGTGTGGTGGGGACAGAGAGGAGAAATACATTGGACAGCAACACAAAAGTCTGGATGTCAGGCCTCACATGTAGCCAAGATCTGGTGACTGAATTTCAGATATTGTGAAATTCTCTGGTGTCTTTTCATTAACATTTTTGGAGTTTTTCCATGGTAAAAGTCAGTGGGCTGGGTTGACCTGGTCCATGTACATAGCAGACGTTATTGGACTGTTGCCTGATTCAAAACATGTAAGCTAAGTAGTCATTGATCTCTAAGAGAGTCATCTTGATAAGGATTGACAGAACTCTGTGGCCGTGATCAGTCTCAGATAGGGGAAAGAGATGATAGTATTTAACTCACTGTTGAGCTAAACGTGTTGGTATTTATTATAGTTGTGGCACATTTTCATGGTACTTATCATTCCACCTGAACCAGAGGTTTGTGATGAGTATGGTCGCTGACAGTGCAGACATGAGCCACTGACATAAGTTTCTCTTGTCTCAGCATGTAAGTGACACATTATTACTTTTTTTTTCTAAAATGACAGGAGTCTTTCCTTCCTCTGCGTGACACACAATTCTCCTCTGTATATGTATGTACATAAAAAATGTCACAGAAATTCCTTTTTACGTCAATAGTGGGATTTCCTTTGACAGTTATAGATACAAATGCATATTTATGGAATAAGAAATGAAATCGATGTTATTATGGACTTCTATTTGTGGAATGATGCAAAGTGGTGTTCCTCCCTGCCTAGAATAGAAATTTTTAGCTATTCTAGTTTGAAGAAAATAACTTGGCTGTTATTGCCCTTAGTACAAGATACATGTCAGTACGGTTTATTTCAAAGGCTATGACTTGTGAGAAATGGATGAAAACTACTTCACAAAGGTATCCTATCCAGGGTGTTTATACCAATTCAAATTTTGATCTAGAAAAAGGTAATTTTCTATTACTAGTAAGGAATCATTGCTTAAGTCGGCCCTTCATTTGAATTTGATATTTTTTTTCTTATTAAATAATTTAGTTATGAATATCAGGTCAGACATTTAGACATCCATGTTTCCCTGTACATTTTAGGAGGATATATGGATATATCAGGAATTTTCTTTTCAGTGGTTTTATAATTTTCATTGTCTGAATTGGGAATGCTAGTTGCTTTACAGGCTATACGGATAGTGAAAATATTGTTTAAGGACATTTTCATGCAGATAGCATACCTATAAGCACTGGTAAAACTAAAACAGAAATCAGATGGAAATCCTTGCAGGAAGAGGGCATGTACTAATATTGCACCTTGTTCAAGTAAGGCTTTGAACCATTGAAACCAAATGACATAAGGCATGAAGTAGTTACTGAGCTTTACTGCAAGGTTTGCCTCTAATTTTCAGTTTTACTCTGGGAAATCTTTAAATTGTCTATCATAGGCATTTTCCTTCCCTTTATTTTTTATCATATTTTCAATAATCTAGCTTATGCTAAAAAAGCAAAGCATATTTTATTCTCCATCTAAGCTATTTATAATTGTACTGCTAAATTTGCTACTAAAATGTCTTTGAAATGGAAAATAAAGAAAGAAAGAAAGAAAGAAAAAGAAAGAAATGACTGGTATGACCCAGGCTGCATATTGGTGTATTCTAAAAATAAAACTTGATATTTGTCAGAAATCTGGGATATTGTTATTATTACAATAGAATGCAGTGTTCATGGGCAAGTGATCTAAAAATAGGCAGCTAGCAATTCATTTTTTGATAAAGAACAAGATAGCTTGACAGTTGAACTTGTCGTTTTTGCCATGTCCAAAAAAATTAAAGAATTTAAAGACTTAATCAAGGCTTGTAGTGCCCCAAGGTGGTCTGACAGGATCATAACCTGGACCTCTTCACACTCAGTTACTAAAATTAACTCACCGTCAATTATTTGAAGAGAGACATCCTCATACTATATGAAAATGAAACAAAGGCGGCGTTGTAATTGAACACCTGTTTTTAGCGTGATGACAACCTTTGCGTGTGTCAGAGTTCCTAAGTAATTGACAGAAATGTTATCTCTTCTGCTGCATGCCTATTTGCAGGGACTTTAGCTGCCTCTGTGACATGCAGGCAGTGCAGTGAAGTATTCTGTACTTTTAGAACAAGTTGGATTCCATGTGGTATTGATTATATATATATGCGTTTCTGTTACACAATGCTATCAAAAAAATTCAACAACGGGTATAAGGGGAAAATGGATGTGTCTCTATTTACTTAATTATATTTTTAATCAATATTATTGAACAACCATCACAATCCTAATTGAACACACATTTTTGTCATAATACATTATGTAATTAAATTTCAGTGTAGAAAAAAAGACTTTCTTCTATCTGAACATCTGCCAGTTTGCCCTTGTATGTTATTGCTTGAAAATAACCCTTACTTCAACTTCACTTTAGAACAACAGCATGACAAAACTTCAAACCTGCTGCACCAGAATGGTTGTCATAAGACATGTTTTATACACTGTGAACATGCAAGGTTTGTTTGGGGTCCCTTGTCTGTCAGTGTATGCCCTGTGATCCTAGCTCAGTGCAGCTGTATTCAGCTCCTGGTCTCTCTCCCCTGCCTGCTCTCTGCTGCCATCTAGTGTCAACATGACACAGGAAACTAAAACAGGGACTGCCAACTACTCCGTTGCTATATTAAGAACTTGCTAGCTGGTTCTAGAACAGCTGCAAAGCTTTTATATTTGTAACCCAAGCTACCATTTTTTTTTCACCAAAATATCTAAAGCAATTTCATGGTTAACTTATAATGCCTTTTGTTTCATTTTTGTGAGTTTTGTTACCATCTGAGAATGCTTTTTTATTGCATGTCAACTGAGACCAGGCCTATTAAAACCTTCCAATAAAGATTTTCCTGTCAAAAACTCGTTTTAGTGAATTTTCCCTGGGTAAATGGTATTTTACCCTGACTTGCCAACCTTAAATCTTTCTTTTCTGTTACTCCCCATAACTCTTTAAAAATTCTGGAAAAAGCAGAAGATCAAAACCTGCGCTTAAGCACAGATATGCCATTTATCTATGACTTGGCTTTCGGAAATCCCAATACTCTCATGCTATAACCAACATTATTTTCAAATTGTGTCAAAATGACAGCCTACTGGACAGGGGATGTTGAATATGATTATTTATTTATTTATTTATTTATTTATTTATTTATTTATTTATTTATTTATTTATTTATTTATTGTGATAATGATTAAGGTCCTTTATCTCTCAAAATTTGTTTTAAAAGTTTTAGTTGTCCTCAGATAAATTCAACAAGATACAATTCATGTACTTAGAATCCATTCAAGACCCTTTCTTTAATTGCTTTAAACAAAGCTGTCTGTATGGACTGTCTGGCCTCTTTCCAATAGTTGAATGACCGGTCTAGTAAAGAAAAAAGGACAAACCATTTGCAATATTAACCTGATGTGTGAGTGAGTTCAATTCAATTTACTCCTAATAACCAGGTTCAGGCATTATAAACGGATTAGGCATTTACTAACTCTACCCGCAGATCTTTTAGCCAAATGCCCATATTAAAACCACCAAACCCACAAATTAATCAGCACACCGTACAATTATTTAGCACCAGCAAAGCAATATCTAGCACTAACATTCATCCGTTATGGTAGTGCTGGTTCATTTGTGGGTTTGGTGGTTAATATGGGTGTTAGTGCTAAAAGATCTGCTTGTAGTGCTAATAAACGCACATTTCGTTTATTAGGCCTGTTGAGGTTATAATATTGAGTTATGATTTTCTCAAAGTGAACTACACTGGACTGGCTTAGTCAAGTACAAACTAGTTATTAAAGATGTCTTAAAATACCCAGGGAGAACTAGTAGTTGTTCCTCTCTTTGACTGATGTGAAAGCTTTGCATAGTTACCTGATTCTCTGGATATCCAGGGAGGTAATTGTATTACTACAATATAATAATGTAATTGATATAATATAATTGTGGTATTGTCACACAATTACTGCTGTAATTGCCATGTAAATGAATATCCTGGACTCTAAGCTCAGTTGTTGCTATGACATCATCTTGGTCCTGGATATCTGACGTAAGCCGCCATCTTATACATGTCAAGGTTAACGTAGGCCACCGTCTTAATAGGCAGAGGCACGTCAGGTGAATATATACATCATACAAGAATGACGATCTTCTTAAGAACTTATGGATTAGCAGCTAGGATTTGTTAGGAAACGGGTTCATTTGGCTAAGTTGGGGTAGTGTTTCTCTGGAGGAGGCCCCCAGTCTGCCGCAGGCCTTGTGGTAAATATAGCCGGGTGCCTGGACCAACTGTGTGCAGACAGCAACCTTCAAACTTGCAGTGCTCTAGGCACATGTTCTACTCTAGCCTTGCCACAGCCAGCTCTCACATAGCTGAATTAATGAAGTAGACTTTTGCTTCTGAACAGAGGAAAAATCGCTGCTGCTGCTGCTGCTGCTGAAAAAGAAGGTACTGGGGAAGGAAAAGCCGTCTAATTTTGGTTGATGAAATTTTTGATCAGTTATATAGAGAGTGAAAGTTACACAGGTTGCATTTGATGCCACTTGTTACCATGGTGTTGCCAAGGAACCGTTTCTCTGACAAAGTGACACTTTATGGCCGCTCGCACTTGAAGTACATCGCTGTGAATGTCTTCATGTCATGCTAATAGGTCTTGTGCACACCATGTAGCCATGAAACCAAGGCAAATAGTTGGAGAGATCAAGTAGAAAGGAGCCTATTTCTGTGGGTGAAATCATGAAAAGATTCCCCAAGTTGAAATTATAAATTTAATTTTCTTGTTTCCTGTGTTTGAACCGATTTTATTTTGGTTTTGAAATTTAGCAGACAGTTTTTATACTTTATTATTTTTTTTTACTCCCATATTTATGAGCTCTTTTTGCTATGAGTTCAGTAATCCTGATAATGTTTATTTTAATTTTTCTTTTTAATTTTTCAGGTAAAGACTATATTTGGGGAAGTGGAAAAGTAGGCATTAAATGTGAAGGTGAGTAGTTCTTTTTTTTTCTTTCTTTCTTTCTTTCTTTCTTTCTTTCTTTTTTTAGTTCAGCAAGATAGATAGATAGCCATTTATTAGCCCACTCCAGTGGAGAAGGCAGTTAGAGAAGAAAATGCCATCTGGCAAGATAAACTGGTGAACGTAAAGGGACATGGAGATAGATCGATTGATGTCGGACTGGGACATCTCTTCTAACATGAAACCCAAACATTAGTCCTGTCAGTGGAATGCAATGTTAACTTGGAGGGGCTCATTTTTAATCTACGTCTTGCTAGATCTTTTTGTAAGAAGAGATTGAAAGATGTGAAAGGAATGAGGAGTGTTGGGAAAATGGACGAATGTTAGAAGATATTATTACAACGGAGAAGGTCAGTGAATCAGTTATGTGGACCAAATCTAAACCAGTGACCTTTTCCATTTCATGATTTTTTTTTTGGTCAAATTGATAGCATGGGTTTGAATGGTTTCTCCCCATTCCTCTACAGCTCTCTGTAACCATTCACAACACATCAACTGCAATTCTTATTATTCGCCCAGTCGGATAAGTTCAAGATGGTCATGGATAAAAAGAGGAATTTTTCTGGGCAGGTATTTTGGTATGAGGTAATCTTTCCCATTAACTCCATTCTTCTCCGGTCATTGTTCCCCAGCAGTCACTGGGGCAAAGTGTAGGCTTGGCCGCCTACCGTGGATAGACAGATAAATTTATCTGGTGACGGAAATACAGACTGAGGTTATCTGGGATATCAGTATCTTTTTTTTTTCTTTTGTGGCTACCTGATTTGACCAGTGCTGTGTGAAGTCAGAGTGTGTATTGAGAGAGGGCATGACCTGATATGTCTGTGTGATGTATTGTGTAATGGGGGTCTGCTGTGGCTGGCAGTTCAGACCTGGCTAGGAGAGGAGGAAGACTTGTCATACCACAGAGCTCTGACAGATATACAGAATATATATATAGTAAGTGTGTGTGTGTGTGTGTGTGTGTGTGTGTGTGTGTGTGTGTGTGTGTGTGTGTGTGTGTGTGTG